TCAAATCGTCTGCTACAGCTTGTTTTACTTCCTCCTTGGCAGCAACTACAGCTGTCACTGAATCAGTGGTTGCCATTACTGAGGCCACCTCTTCATTCATCATATTGACAACTTTGGTACTTTCAGTGTTGTTTTCAGTTACATTTTCATTCATCCTTGATTTGGATATAAATGGCAGTATGCTCTTTGTATGAGAATGCAAATAAGAAGCAGCGGAGGCAGCAATTTGATAAGCAGCAGCTGCACTTATCCGGTTCCCATCAATCTTCTCCTCCTCAAGTTGTACTTGCTTTTCCTTGTTATCTTTGACTTCTTGACCTTCGGCTGATGACCCATCGTTCCTTTGCTGGCCTTTAGCTGCTTCATTGTGGTTTTCATGAAGGTCTTCAGATGCTGCCTTCTCTTTATCAGCCTGCAATGCCTGTTCTTTCTTTTCTAGAGATGAAGTCACAAACCGCAGTCCACGATTTCTCAGGAGATTTCCTGGCTGCAAAAGCAATAGGATACACCAAGTTTACAAGGATGACTTCGCAAACTGAGACAGCAAGGTGATGACTCGAGGGACTGAAAACGAGTCAAGTAAAGGACATGAATCTGAATATCACCCAAAGCTGCCAAATTCGGTTGTGTTTGGATTGCATTTTCCGTCATTTTTCATGGAAAAATTACTGTAGCGATTTGATATATGTGAGGGAAAAAGGTAATAGGGAAATGTGATCACGGAAAACGACAATATTTTCCGACGGAAACAAGCAATCCAAGCATGGAAATTTTCCAACTTGGCTCCTGAAACCAGCAAACCACAACCGTACCAAGTAGAGAATTTTCCTCAACAGTGAAAAAAGCAATTGCAGAACTTTGGAACAGATAACGAGTAGCAGGGGGGCTCTCATTGACAACATGGGGTTGTCGAGCATCTAAACCATGTAATACGTTCTTTAAATTAAAGAAGAAAAAATTCCATCAAACAAAGCAAGGAGAATCCGCCGTGATCCGATAAGTCCATTCAAAGAAAATAACTTTCCCACCCAACTATATAGCTCCTAAAAGGGAAAGCAGGTCCTTTCTGGCAGACGGCAGTTAAAGGTATCATAAAGGAAGCCCAAACAAACAATCTATCAACAGATCCAAGGTAACAAAAATTAAACAGACCATTATCTTCTAAGTTTTGCAAATCATCGCATAATAATTTTTTTTTTAAAAAGCAAAAAGGAAGGATTAGATTCTAGTACCTTGATTTGGGGAATGCAATAAGCCAAGTTTCCCAAATACGACATGTGAGCATACAATCTAGCTTCCGCCAAGGAAACCCTCCGCAGCAACTTTGTAAACGAATCTCTATCTAAATCGAATTTTTGGTCATCGCCATCATCATCATCACAAACTGTACAAACATCACACTCCTCATCAACATCACAACATCTTGGTCTCCGTTCATTCTCGTCAGAAAGCCCATTGTTTTCTAATTTTTCTTCTTCCACCGGTGTCCTCACCTCTAAATCTTCTTCTTCTTCTTCTTGCTGTTCTTGCTTCCACAGGGACCTAACGTGCAAAATCTTGAAAACCCAATTCCCATTTCGCCCATCATGATCCAGCTCATATTTTTCCTCATTATTATCGTCCTTTTCCTCCGCCAAAACTGGGACGGCGTCTTTCACGGATATGGCGGCGTCATAAGTGCTCTTACCTCCCTTGGGCCAGAGAGATCTAAATGGGTATCTAAAGGAAAAGCCCCAGTCCCTGTGAGAAGAAGACGCGGAAGGCTTGTCGACGGAAATAGCGGCGGACGATCGACCAACCGCGTTGGCGCAAATATGCGAAGGATGATGGGCTGAACGGACTTCCAAACTTCCGGCACCAGCGACGGCGATGGGGGGCGGCAAATTATGAATTCCCCCCTTCAAACAGAGAGTATCCATGGAGAAGGACTGGTATCCGTCCTTTTTTAAAAAATTTCTTTTGCTTGCTTGGGTGGGAATATGGGGGATATAGAAATTGTTGGTGATCGGTAGTAGAAGGATTTTAAAACTGGCTAATGCCAAAGGTCGAGTGCGGATGGAGAAGAAGAGGGAGGGGAGGAGGGGTTGTAAACGAGAAAAAACCAAAAAAGAAAAAAAAAAACCCACAATCTTTATATTTGGAGAAGTCCTGCAAAATGCTGCTTAGAAGGAAGAAGTATTTGGGAGTTAGATTTGACAGAAGGAAAGTCTTTTTAAGGTTGAATTGAAATTTGAGAATGGAGGGGCGGAGACTCAGGACATAACCGGAGGGCAGAGAGGTTGGTTTAAGTTACGACGTAAAAGGCAGGCAAATAAAAATTGGTCACCAAACTTCTCCTTCCCTCTGTTTCTCACTTTATTCTCTGTCAGCTTTGCTTCGTCACGCCCGTACTCTCTCTCTCTCTCTCTCTCTGTCCTGCGAATTTTTTTTTTTTAAAGGCCAACGAGTGAATTTAAATCCCATTTTCCTGGAGCTGGGGTGGTCAACACGACTATAAGGGTGAATTTCAATTTAGCCCTTTAAATTATACCAAAGTCTTGATTCAGTTCCTAAAAGGTGAATAAATTTTGATTAAGCCCTCCAAACTGCATATTTAGTTCCAAATGAGCCATTTCCGTCAATTCACCTTTGGTGGCTCATGTTTGACCAAAGCTTCGGTAGAATAGTGAAACCCTACCAATTTCTTAGGAACTTTTTTGTAATTAACTTTCTATTTAAATGAGCTAAATAAGTAGTGTGTTTGGTTTGCACCTTATATACACACACTGACTTGTTTTATATCGTCAACACATTTTTGAATCACTTTTTTATCTCATATACATCACATAAAAAAAGTGCTACAATATATTTTAAAAAATTTATTCCAAATAATCTCTTATCCAAACACATTAAGGCTGCTGCACTAACAAAATGAGCTAAAAAGGATTAAATAGTGCTATTTTTTAATCAAAATTGGAAATTTTAAAATGGTATTAAAATCTTTAGCTCATTGATGCAGGAAGATAATTATTTTAAAGTTTTTCTAAAGAATTTGTATTATGTCACTTTAAGACTAAAGTTTTGTCAATTGTGTATTTGATAGTAGAGTTTGATTAAAACTTAATCAATTTCAAAATTGCAATAACAAAAAAAAGGAAAAAAACTGTATGAACACTTTGCATTAATGCTTTGATCTACTTTGGAAGGCTAAAGTGAAATGATGTTGGTAATGTAAATATTATTTTACACTATTAGACTTTCAAATTTGAATATAAATTTTCTACGCATCCAATGTAAAAGGAAAAATATTAGTAAAATTTTTTTACTTGCAAACATATTTTTTAAATATTTTGAATCATTTTTTTAAATATTAGACGAGGGGAGGTAAGTATAAATTTCAAAACCTAGACAGGGCTCGGGAAAATTGTTAGAAACCTCAAGGCGTGAGAGGAAAGGTTATAGTTGCGGGTCCCACTGCCATCGTTGATGCAAGAAAGTAAAGGGCAAAAAAATCAAATTCTGCATGCTAAACTGGGGCTTTTTCTGTGTTTTTGTTGGGTGTTCATCTGCATGATCGCCACGTCAGTGAGATACGGATGGAACTACAAAGGAAACGTGACGTATCGAGGAAGCTCACAATACCCGCACCCGCTGGCGTTGTACTCTTTCCACGTACGATACGGTGGGGCGTACTCGTAGAGCCGTCTTAATTCACTCTTTGGTACACGCATTTGGAACCGTTCAAATCTATCTATTCCCACGTTCAGCTGTCGCGATGCCTGTCCAACCGGCTCTGACTCTTACTTGTGCATGTTCTGCTGACCCCGCCGCCCGGCTGCGTGAGATCCAGCAACCAGTTTACCAATTTCCAGTCATCACGAAATCACACAAGTTTTGATGCCTACGTGAGATCCGGCAAGTTGTTTCGTGTAAATTAGCCACCAACGAGAAAGTAAGAAATGATATGGAGTTTAAGCTTCGTACGTCGGTTGATTATATTTGTCTTTTGGTCCATCCGTCCAAACGTATTGATTTCAGTCATAAAGGTCGCCATTTTAGGCGATCCCTAATTACGAACTACACCATTCAACTGTCAACGAACGTCATAACTGCATTCTGCTATTTCTTTCTTTCTTTTTAAAATGTCATAACCACACTTCACTCTCAAGTTTTATTGCTGCTTCTAGTAATTTTACACGATACTTCTGCTTGAAACCTTCCCCCCCGCCCTTTTTTTTTTGTTCCGACAATTTTTGACGCTACTCTCCCCTGCAATTCTTCAACAAAGGCGTTACAAAATTCTTGCTGTTTGACCCATCCGTTTGATTAGCAAAATTTTTTTAAAAAAAATGAATCTAATATTTTATTTAGCTTGAATCATAAATACAATTTTCAATCACTTTTTTTGAATCTCACAATCATCACCTCATACAAAGTGCTTTAGTATTATTTTAAATAATTTTTTCAAATAATTGTGCAAATAATAGAAAGTATGGTTAATTGTAAAAATTACTTTCACAAAAATTAACATTGCACTTTGCAAATTAATTGCCTTAACAAATCAAGATATACAAAGATTTTTTTTTTTATATTATTCAACTTGCATTATAAACAAAACTTCTAATCACTTTTAACCTCATGTACAGCACAAAAAAGTGCTACGATGGTATTCTAAATAATTTTTTCCAAATAATCACTAATCCAAACACACTCATGCATATTACTTGCTATATTAAGATTTAAGATACCCACTTTGTCACGATCTAAACATCTCTTTTCACCAAACATCAAGTGCCAGAAAGCCCGAAGAAATATGATAATATACTACATCTGGAAAATCAGAAAACTACGATGGAAAATGGCTCATCTCGAAGAAGAACCTAATGGATGAACTAGAGTCGCACATGCTGAGTCAGGCTGACTATTCTGACCCAGACCCTGCCCATCGACCAGCAGCAGAACACATCAAGTTCGGAACGACACGACAAATATCAAATTCAAGAAATCTATCAGACAGCTAATTTACAAATTCGAGCTAAATACCACATCTAAATGCCCGTTGATTTAGTAGAGTCAGGACAATGCCTCCAACATTGAATGGGGGCGTTCTCACAGGAAAGCAGACAAGTTCAAGTATTATCGTTGTTAGATGTCCACAATGACCGGGCTAGCAGTAAATACCTCGGAGCGGCCGAAAACAATATGCAAAGAAAGTGGCCTACCGGAGGATACCTCGCATGGATTACAGCAAAAATTTCTTGGAAATATGATATACTAGTGACCCATCAGGGCCAAAGAATGCCAAACGCTAGGATGGCCTACCCCTAAATGCTTTCCTATTTTGGTGCAAAGCCTAAATGCTTTCATGAATATCATCACGCTACGGAGAAGCAAAGCAGGAGCCGCTGAAGATACAAAATTTAATATCTCATCTCAACCAAGAATTGCCTTAATCTGTGTCTTCTGATCTTCCGTTAGTGAAGTTGGGAACAGAACCTCAAATGTGACGTAAAGGTCTCCCTTCTTGTTACTGAAATGCAAGGGCATACCTTCACCCTTAAATTTTCTCACTTCCTTGGGCTTTGTAACTCCCTGAGCAATTAAAAATGTGAACAAAATAAAAATCAATGCAATTTGATTATTTATGAGTGCAATTTGATTATATCATTGACCTTCACGCAAGGTAAGCTACAGATCGATCTTATCTTCTACCAAACTTGCAAGAAATTTTCTACACAAACGGTCAAGATGCACTCATGTATCCTTTATCAACTTTGGCATGTAATATTTTGCACATATTGCATGGAACTATGTCCACTTGATTAAAAAATTTCTATCAAATTGGTGTAAGAAAGATTGATCCTTAGATCAAATCCAAAATGTACACAATATGTACTTACCTTTGTGCCAATGTCCACTAAATGATCATCAAGATGTTTGATGGTTTTCTCAAAACCAACAAGAGCTTGCACCTAAAACAAGTCCCAGAAATAAGCTCCATAAGAACTTTTTGATCTTGAAAGGAGAGAGCTAAACAAGTTAACAAAATGAGTAGCCAGAAACAAATCTACCATGGAATATAACATACAAATGATCATCTTGTTCATTCTTGATATATTTCTCACAAAGATTCGGCTATATAGACAAAGGGAAAGTTATATTCAACTTGAAAAGCCTGTCATAGGTTTCCTATTTAGATGCCAAAAGCAACTAACTGAGGCAAATAGACAGTTGCTCAGAAGTCCAAAAAGTTGGTCCTTCAATGGCCCTCTTCCCTACCTGCCACTTCTTAACCATTTTATGCTTAAGTTGCATTTGTCTCCTACGCACTAAGCAGCTTACATTCTTAACCCTTCTCGGGGCTTAAGATGAATTCATCTCCTGTATTCAGCACAACAGCAGATCTAGGATTTTGGGTTCTTATGAAAATTATGCCAATCTCAACATTTAACTTGGAGCAGAAAATGAAATTTCACAATTGAATCAATCAGTCCGAATGAAATAGACCAAAAGCTCATTTAAAAAATAAAAATCCATCTGTTAATCTAGCTATCAAAAATTTATGTCTACAATATGTGGGACTAATGGAAGGCTATGTCATTAGAGTTCCTACCTGTAACACTTAATAGCTACTTGCCAGTCAAAATGATATCAAGCTGGAAATGATAACAGTAGAAAGAGGCATCCACATTGCTTATGATCAGCAAAACAGAAGTGGAATGCCAATTCCAGCTTTACAACCCAACCAATTAAAAGTGGTGAAATGCATGAAAATCATGCTGAAAATTTGTTAAGATGATTATGTTGGCCAATCTGAAACTTAAGAATCATTTGGACGCAAATTAGCATCAACAAAATGAAAACACAGCAAGGAAGTTTGAAATACCAAGGTTATAGTAACAGTAGTGTGTAGATCATTGCCTTCCCTCCTGAAGAGGTCATGGGATGCGGTACGGATGCGAAACTGCCCAACAATAATAATAAAGGTATTTTGATCAGCTCTTTTTTGTAGTCATGACATCCTAGATATATTCAATCAGAAGCCAAGGATAGAGTCAAACCCTCAGATCTCCAGCTTCCCCATCAATTATGGGCTCACCATCCTCGTAAAACACCACTTCCTGTCAACAGAGCAGTGATAGTTACACAAGTCTTATACCAGAACATCTAATAAGTGGAAAATAGATGTTTGAATAACAGCTTAAAATACCTCAAAGAAAAAATTACTCTATGCATATCTTTACATTCAGTACCAAAGGTAAATTCCATCCAATGAGAAACAGGGTGGATACAAACCAGCTTGAGATTACTCTCAGCACAATATTGACATATTAAAGCAGAAGATATGGAATGCTTTCTGCATTCCGAGACGGAATTTGCTTTTTATCTTGTTCAAAAATATGTTTTCATATTTATTTGGATCCACTTGCCACTACTGCTAACAATGTTGCCATGTTAAATCTCAGTACTAAATGTATATGTGACAGACAAATGGCAATTAATGTCCTCCTCACTCTTGATGCTACTTCCTCATGTACATCTCCTATTTTTGACTGCTGCAATTAGATCCACAACAGCTAACTTTATAAGAAAGAAATGAAAGGGATGGATTTGGAAAATAGAAGCACAAAGCCAATACATCGTGTACTTTGCAGTATATTTGACACTAACAAGGACAAAATGTCAAATTGGATTTTCCAAATTACAACCATACGCCATTTCACAGACAGTTAATGAACTGTAGTTCCAATAAGGGGATCTTACAAAAATGTCTAGCGACAATTGCTTCATATTCATTACATCTGATCACTTAAAGCAGCCTGTTGGGTTGTAATGCAAGGTTCTGCTTTCAGAAGTAAAATTCAGAACTTTGCATCTTTTTCATCCAACCAAAACAAAAGCACACAAATAAGAAAGTTATACCAATCACATCTAGGAATTAATATTTATGAGAAGCCAAAGAAGAGTTAAACGAGATCATGCATGATCTCAATATGTACCAAAGTAAAAAAAAAAAAAAAAAAGATGCTTTATAGCAGTATCTAATTCGCAAAATGACAGTGAAAAGAAAAGTAATACTATTATTACAAACTTAAACACTGTCTTGAAGGAATTAGCAGTTGGCCAGGACTAGGAAACACTAACTCTATGTCAGTAGATGAAAATTTAAAGAGATCGATCATTAACATATACTCAACTGAATCCTCTCAGATATAAAGATTTAGAAAGTTGATAGAAGACTTGAACAAGACACAAAGACATACCTGCCCATCTTGCATCCCTTTCTCAATATCAACAGTCACAAAATAGCCTTCCCTTTCATACTTCACATTAGGGCATTGTTCACAGACCTGAAAGAATATGTCAAAACAAGTTAGGAAATATGACCTAGCCATCAAGCAAGAAGGTAAGGATCAGCCCAAAAAACACTAAGGTCAGAGGGCATACATCACCGAAGTGGTCAAAGAAAACTGAAACTATACCTGCTCAGTCATCTGCTGAAACATCCCTGGACCAATTTGCTTGTGACCACACAGATATTCCAACTTAAGATACAAAATAAGGACTGAAAGCGTAAAGTTTTCAGAAGTCAAAAGCAACACTACACTCAGTCCTCAAAAGTTTACAGACGCAAAATTACCTTCAATGACCCCCCCATGTATAGATCTTCCAAAGTTGCATCCAATTCAACAATCACATCATCACCTTTAACAATCTTCTCTTCTTCTTCCATTGGACCTCCACCAAAGAACCTAGAAGTTTAAGTTTTCAAAATCTTTCAGCAAACCGTGTAACTTTTAAAATGTATTTAGTAGACAACGACACTTCCCAGTTCAGCATCAGTTATCCAGTAGAAGAGAAAAGAGCAATCACGGGGAAAAAGATACCAGAAAATAAATGTATGCAGAGAAATTGCTCATACATATTGCTAACATCTGAACTATTCCTAGCTAAATATGTTCTCCACAAAGAAAAATACTAAACGAGGATAAGGGAAAAAACCATAAAGTCAAAGACTCAGTACAAAAGAAATACAAACACAAAGACCTCTCTCAACCACTTCTTCAGAGAGGGTCCAGAATTCCAGATTGTATAGTGTAGAACTGAGTACAGAACAGCAGTGAATTGGTGGGAAAAAGAGGAGTCAAGAGAAGTCACCACGACCAAAGTATTTGGGCACAAGTAGTTTTAAACTGCATTAGTTTGCCACGGATTTCAGAGATATGCATGATTACATGGACCTGTTTAGAAATTTATTAAAAATTGTTAAACATCCAAAACTAAAGACATAAAGAACCGGTATGAGATGGAATGCACGGTTCTTATTTAATTTGTCTAACCCAACTGCATGAACAAGTAGCTTCTTAAATCTCAATCATCAGATTTTGCTTAATTTCATTTACTTCATGTTTTGATCTATCCCGCATGAACGACTCAGTCTAACTTCAAGCCAATAATGTTCGACTGCACCTTAGCTTATACTGGCAAAGAATAATCGCAACTCAGCAGAACAAATACGATGAAAAATGTTTGCACATTTCACAATATACTACTTCTGGAACACCAAAAATCTATAACAAGAAGGGTAATTAAAACCATGTTTCGATACGTTTCCACAACTCACGAGATTTTTTAACCCACTCAATACGAAATATTCAAACAACATCAATGTGCCCCATCTTATGATACCGACTCTATATTTTGTTTACGATAAATAACTATGGAGCATGACCTCCCGAATTAAAGAAATACGGGGCAAAGGCAAGACTAAACAATAATTCACAGAGAAAATAAAATAAAATAAGAGTAAAAGGAATCCACTTACTGGCTAAATATGTCTTGAATGTTCATCCCGCCACCTCTGCCACCACTGGCAGCGTGCTGTTTGAGACCCTCCTCCCCATACCTATCATAAATGCTCCTCTTTTCGCTATCAGAAAGCACTTCGTAAGCTGAAGAATCAATCGTGGATCAGTAAAATATTTCCGAGAGAGATAGAGAGAGGGGGGGAAAAAAAAAAGAGCAGCTGCATAAAGAATGCAACAAATTTTCACCTACCATTATTGATTTCAGCAAATTTCTTGTTAGCCTCCTCGTTGCCTTGGTTCTTATCGGGATGATACTTCAACGCAAGTTTCCTGTAGGCCCGTTTCATCTGCTCGTCCGAAGCACCTCTCGGCACTTGCAGAATATCATAATAGCTCTTCCTGAAATCGCTCAATCAAAACGAAAAACAAATGAAAACCAAACAAATCTTGAATTTGAACAAGAATGAGGTAGCATGAAACGTACGCTGCAATGGCGATTAGAGAACAGGATAAAAAGCATAGCAGGAATAGCAACTTGGATGTTCTTCGGTGCACCATAGTTTCTCTGGCACAGATATATTCAAATTCGAGAAAGAGAGATTAAAGACAATCTATCTGATTGTCTCTCCCCTCGAAATCTAGGGTTTTGGAAGTGTGATCTAAAAACTTAGATGGAGAACGAATAATCTTCGATAATTTGCACCGGAGCTAAATAAAAATTCGCTTTAAATTTGTTCGTAAATGTCTCTTCTACAAAACCACTGAAGCCTGCGACTGAATCACGGGGGAAAAAAGGCCGAAAAGAGACTCTCTCGCTATTTCGCACGCAATGAAACGTGTTCTCTGGGGGAACTGACCAATTAAAGAGCTCTCCCACTTGTTCTGTCCAATAATCTGTAGCCACGTATTCAAGGCCCCTCTTTCTCCCCGCAAAGAACTTTTCTTAATAAACTTGAATGTTCAAGTTTGACCCCACTTCGGGTTTCAACGACTTTTTGAAGTCCTACATTCGGAGTTTCAATTTCAAGGAGGAAAAAGATGGGGAAGCGAACACACATACGCTCTTCCTCTTCTTTTTTTTCACTTTTTTTTTTTAATTTATAATGTGAGATGAAAAGTAGTTGAATTATATATGTTATTCCCACAAAATTATGAGTTTGTTCATTCATATATATACAGCAAGTACTTTCAAAAGTTGTAATCCTTAATAAACGTATTCTCTCCATTTCTCCTCATACTTGGAGAAAATTTCAAAAGAATCTTGTTCTCCTTTCCTTTTTTTTTTTTTTTCTTATTTCAAAATCATTCCATTGTAGCTAAAGTTGGACAGAAAAAAGTACATTATTTCTTCCTCTCATTAAAAAAGAAAGGATTAATCTTTCCTATACTGTCGGTGTATAAACTATCAGCGTTGTATGAATGACAAAAATTTGAATTTGAAATTCAACTTTTGTACACATGTCATGAATCAAATGGTGATAGTGTATACATCGTTAGTGTATATAAAATTTATCCAAAAAGAAAATTACCATTTTATTCTCCCAAACCTTTAAATTTGTAAGCTTTAAAGGCCTTCCGTTTGTGCGGAGTCCAGTCGTTTCAATACATGTGCACTCATTTTGTTCGTTTGGGATTCATCTTCATTTTGGGCTTCAACCCCGTAAATGAGCCCAGTAGAAACAATATAATGTAGTCATTGATGGTTTGGATCCTTGTTTCCGCCTTAGTTCGTACAAGCCCAAAACTCACCTTCATTTAGTATGACCGCCAACCCACAGAGACGTTCTCAAGTTCTATGGAGAATGTAGATGCAATAACGAGTAAACAAACCAATGAGCCTCCTACGACACTTGTGGGGCCGTTACTTGCATACAAACCCCTGCAGCTGGTCGTGAAATGACATATAATCCCAATAAAATCTTGAACCCAACAATTTCACCATCTTCCATCCTCAGCACAAGAAGTTGGATGAATTTTTCCTACACGACATGGTACTCCAACTGCCTAGCCTTCGTAAAAAATTTGGTAATAAAAGAAAATTTAGCAAAATTAATTTTCTAACCAATACTTATATATTTTCTATAATAGCTATGTTTCATGAATTATCAGACGACAAATTCGATGGAAGAGGATTTGTTGGTGAATTATTTCTTTGACTTCCACATCCAAAGTCTCGGGCTCTAAGGTTGAAGGATCCTACCATGTTCTCATAGATTTGATCCCTTATTGTCAAGAGTGAATCTCTCAGTTGTGCACCTATGGCGTGAAAGACCTCTTCAAGTAACCCTATACTTAAAACTCCCTGGTATATATTTTCAAGAAGGCATTAAATATGATCATAACATGCCTCTATACAATCACAATGTGCATGAAAAAGATTCAAATTACTTTAATGTGCATCAACCATCATTACAGGAGAAGTCCACTTTGAAATCACATGATGCGATTACGGAAGCGTAGAAGACGAGGGGTTATGCGAGTACCCTTCGTACGAGAATCGTTGGTTGGACGAACAAAACCTAAAAATACAAGATTGTATTATACAATCTGCCACATTGACATTATGAATTAATAATTGAGAATTCGTTTCTTCTTGCGATGCTTCGAGACAAAAAGCGTAGTTAATTCTTTCAGTATCAATTTTGCCTTGTATCCCAAACTCGAACATCCATCCACCGCTTTCGTCTACAGCTATTGCTGCTATCTTTCTGGTACTCACCAGTCACCAGATAATCCCAAGCTTCCTCTCCTTTCCCTTTCGTCCGCCACCATCGAACACCAGTTGCATCGGAGGAGCAAGTGGCAGCGTCTATAAAGAGAGATTTCCAGCCTTCTGGATCCTATTTTCTGGTTTAATAGACTGAAGAAATTTCTCCTGTGGAAGTAGTCGTCAGTTGAATCTTCATCGGACCGCGTGGCCACCATCTTCTCCTTCTTGTCATCTTCCCTTTTTCTTGCAAAACTTAAAAAATATATATTTTTTTTAAAGCTAGTACATAAGTTTTGAAGAAATATCAAGAAATCTTTGAAACAAAAAAGTACGTAAGGAACAAGAGGAGACAACTTCTCACTACTTAATTCGCAGTGTCAACGTGATCGATCACAGACCTCTCCGTCTGTGGTTGAGGTCGTGCACCGGATCCATCCAAATTTTTCCTCCCCCACCAACAATAACAGGTTGACAAAGACTAGTTTGTCCTAATGCCAACAGCAAAAGGTTAGGCAGCCCATTTGCAAATAATAATAATAATAATGAAATAAACGCACATTCCTAATTCCTCTCCTTATTCCTCCTCAAGGAGGGAGGACCGCAGAGGTACGTAATTAAATCGAGGAGAGAAGCGAAGCGGCAGAGGCAGATGGAGGTAATAATGGCAGAGATGGGACTTGATTAGCTGATCTAAATTCTAAGGAGGACCGAAGGGAAGGGGACATACCACAGAGAGAGAGAGAGGGAGCGTGGTGGTACGAGGGATAATCAACGTGGGAGATGGAAGCCCCGTCACGAGGCTGCCGACGGTGGATGAGCCACGACAGGTGTCTTTCTATGTGGCCCTCGTGGCATCATCTTTCACCACACCAACTTGTATGTACATCACCGGTTGTCCCGCCTCACTGTTTTTGAGTCCTTACGCGCGGGCGCGGTATAAAACCCCACCTGCGCCTTTTAACCTTTACTCCAGCCCCCCTGCGCCAACGCACACTGGGTCTGGTCCAAACTCTATACATTGATAAGTCCTGCACCTCAACTTTTGAGACTTTGAGAGTGTGCAATAAAAACATGCATAAAAAGTCTTTGAAAGTCAACCGGCTATGCTAGGCTACAAGGTTTGTTGTTAGGCTCTTCCACCTCCTCCTTTAAAACGCAGGGCCCGTTTGAAAAGTCATTTTTCTTCAAAAAATTTCAGAAACTGGCAATTAGAACGGCAGCTCAGCATCTCTCTAATCTGATCTGAAACCTGAAGAATAATGGGAAGAGCCCCTTGCTGTGAGAAAGTGGGCATAAAGAGAGGGAGGTGGACGGCTGAAGAAGATGAAATCTTGACCAAGTACATTCAAGCCAGCGGAGAAGGTTCCTGGAGGTCACTACCAAAGAATGCAGGTACCCCAAGTTATAGTTATTTGAGCTCTCAATTATTATTATTATCATATCACCGACAAGGCCTGCCTGCCTTTGAGTATGGTATTAATACCTTTTTTTTTTTTTTTTTAAATAATGAGTCTCTTATCCGGCTACGTGTCCATTTTGAAGGACTGCTTAGATGTGGGAAGAGTTGCAGATTGAGATGGATCAACTACTTGAGGTCTGACTTGAAGCGAGGCAATATAACTGCAGAAGAGGAAGAACTGATAATTAATCTGCATGCATCTCTCGGTAACAGGTGACCCAGCATTCCTCACAACATGCACTACTATCTTTCTTCCTTTTTTCTTTTTCCCTTTTGCCCACTAATTTTTGTCCAACAACAAATGCAAATCAGATGTCTCCCTGTCCTAGCACTTATTTGGGGGAAAATGATGAAAAGGGTCCCCATCCAACCACTATTCTATTTTTATACTCATTTTCTTGATTATTTTCTGTGGCCAAAGTCCAATACATTCAAATAGAAACACAGATCTTGTGAGTTGAACAAGGCCGAGTAGCAACTAGCAAGTACTTTAAATATATCTTTCATTTACACTACTGCTTGCACGTGACCATCTTGAATCGTTCATTCTGAAAAACACCGCTTACCTTGGGAGTTGTGCGTATAAATTTTATTACCACTGATTTATGATTAATAATGATGAGGTGATTGTTAATGATGTCCTCTTTTTTATTTTTTTTGGTTCAAAGGTGGTCTTTGATTGCGGGACACATGCCAGGTAGAACAGACAATGAGATTAAGAACTACTGGAACTCTCATTTGAGCAGACAACTCCACAAATTCAAGAAGCCAGATAGCGAAAGTAGTGTACCACCAGGTCCGCTGCAACCAGCGGCAGAGGTGATGGATTTAGTAGTTGAGCATGGAGGCGGTGAAGTATCAAAGAAGCGAAAAGGCAGTCGATCCAACATGAGGAAGAACAGAAGCAGCACTAATCCATCGCAACCAAAAGAATTAGCGGGACCTGCTGCTGCAACGGTTCAAATGCCCCGTACTCCAACTCTTGAGGAAGAGACTCTGTCTAGTGCAGTCTCTTTGGAAGAGGGAGGTACGAGTAAATTCGTGGTTTCTAGTAGTCTTATGACGGACGCATGCGCTAAACGAGAAAGAAGACAAAATTTGGCAAGCACTGGTACTACTAGCGACGAATGCACCCCTGAAGTGGGAGAAACCAAGAGCAGCGTGATGTTGCAGCCTGAAGGTGGATTGATGACAAGCGGTAGTGATGGAGCTGTGGGGCTGGACAGCGGGACGTTTTGTCTTGATGAGATGATGAATATTGGGGATCCTGATGGGATTTTGACGTTTCACGGAAATACGACGAGTACAAAAGAAACGTGTAGTGAAACGGCAGCCACTAACGTGGAGCGACAATGCGATAATATGGACCCGGGCTACTACACTACAACTACAAGAGCATCAAATATTGTCGATGATCAGGAGGAAACTGATAAGTTGGGAAAAATGGACGTTTCAAACGGAAGGAATCAGATCGGCTGCACTTCTCCAGCAGCTCATGAAGATCATCACGACGGAAAGCTTGATGACTGGGATGATTGGCAATGGGATGAACCTGTAGTCCAAAACAATCTCACCACATTACCAGGGGAGGAAGCAGACTTGCTGTCGTGGCTCTGGGATTCTGACAACAACAACAACTACCTGAATTCAAGTGGGAATTTTGACGATGGAGCTGGAATGGACGATGAAAAGCACAATGCTATGGTTGCCTGGCTTCTCTCTTGAGTTTTCATCTCTTTATTTTATTTTATTCTTGTTCGTTTTGTGCTTTTTTAGGCTGAAAAATAAGGAGGAGGAAAACATATAATGTAGACCGTTTCCCGTGCATTAATTTTACCATATAAATGTCTTGGAAAGCGTACGTGGCAGATGAAGTTGGATACAGTAGTAATGAATTCACCACCGCTCTAGATATAACAAATGAAGTTGGATACATTGACGTTCAAATTTCGCACGTTAATTCTAACTGTGATGAAGCTTGCGCATATGGGAAAGTACACAGATAAAGAATTGACAAAAGAGGAGAAATATGGAGCATTTGTAGTAATTACCGTACCAATGTATCTGAACAAACAAACTCCTGCAGTAGTTTTTGATATTCATTTCTAATAACACAAGCCTTCCCAAATTTTGAAGACCAAGAGTGGTGTTAACGTTCGTTGTCTTTTGCTTGAAATTTTTTTTTTTTTTGGAAATGTTAAGGGTCTTTATCCTTGACTGGTTGACTTGGAAAGTGAACACAATATAAAAGGCTACATTGTTTCATCAAAACTAGGGGTGTTTCGCGAATCGAGCCGCTCGCGATCATCAAAACTAGGGTGTTTCGCGAATCGAGCCGCTCGCGAGCCGATCGCGAGCGGCTCGAATACGAGCTCGACTCGAGCTCGAGCTAATTAAGTAAATCTCGAGCTCGAGCTCGAGCTCAAAAACATTAAACTCGTTGGCTCGCGAGCTCAATTATATATATATATTTTTTTTATTTTTTATTTTAATAGTAAAATTATATATATATCCCTAATATTTTATTATTTGTTAAAAAATTATTGTTTTATTCATTTTTTTTTATTTTTTAAAAATAAAATAATAATTATTTTATTTTATTTTTTAAGCTCGAATTTGACTCGAGCTTGATATTTTGAGCTCGTCGAGCTCGAGCTCGAGTTCAAGCTTCACAAAATTAACTCGAGCTCGGCTCGATTAGCCAAAGCTCGGCTCGTTTGCACCCCTAATCAAAACAAGAAAGAAAAGCTCTTTTGTTATTTTTTGAAGTTGAAAGTAATTAAAGCGATGGGCATACTTTGAGGGGGGGGGGGGGGAAAAAGAGGAAAGAAAAGAAATGAAGAAAGGTGCTTCTTCTCGCATTTTATTTTGAAACTATAGAGATTTTAATAGCCAACTGACGACTGATATAAATGATTCATGGAGTCGCTCTTTAGACTGAAGTCACTGGACCACCCCTCCCACCGTGACACCTAATGGATGAAACTTGAAAGTTAGAGGAAGCTTTCTACAAATATTCCAAGCCTATTAATGTTGTACGGGTACAGGCAACAAATTCAAAAGATACATATCCATGTCATTGTACGCGATAAAATTTCAAGTCATCGATTCTTCTCTTCAAACGCTAATCCAAGGGCTTCGCAGCTTGCTTCTGGATCGACTACCGATTCCTTCAAATCTTGATATATAAGATTTGAAGAACTTTGAAGATATATGAAGACTCAAGCCTTAATATATGGACGACTTGAGGAACTTGATGGTGGAGGCCTTCGTAGCTTGGAGTTTCAAAACTTGAGTGCGTGAGACGTCTCTTCTTGTCCCTCGACTTGGTGGAGAGACCCTGTTTATAACTATGGAATGAGGTAAAGGTTTAAAACATGTATACCACTCTACTTGTTTGACAAAACATGCAGCCATATTATGACTGTGCTAACTTAAATATTATCTCTTCATTTTGTATTTACTAATAAAGAGATAATACCAATAAGTAATTCCTTGATTGGCCAGACTTGTAGGTACATATGACATGGCGCCATTTGATTGGGTGAGCTATTGCAGTATATAAGACATCTATATGGATTAAATAACTCTAGATATTATTTCTTTAATAAAGAAATAATTATTTAGATATTTATCCATAATTTTACTAAATTATATAGACATGTGACGTGGCGTAATTTAATTGACAGAAATATCCTGACGATTTTAATTGGTCGCAACACCTCATCTTGACATGTGGAGAGACATAATTGGCTGATGAATAGTCAAACTTCAAAGTGTGCATGACATATGGCAATATCCGATTGGATAAAAATAAGCCACAGAAATAATTTATAGACCAATGGTAATTTTTTAGAATTTAATTAAAATTCCATTGTCTACAGTCATATCCAAAAACTAAAAATAAAAAAAATTGTCTTATAGAAATTCTTCTAAAAATTATCCAAAAACTTGATGGGTTTCAAAGCTTCGGATGTTTGAAGTACTTTAAGTATCAATTGTCATATATCCTTCCAAGTACTTAAAAAGATAAGAATTATGTCTAACTATTTAATTACGTAATAAAACTTGTCTAGCTCAGGAAACTACCGACTCAATAATTCAGAGACAAAAATCCTATCAAAATGGTTTCGGAATTCAGATGCAATCCAATAATGCGGAATGATACTTGACTAATTATAATTGGTAAATTATGCATTATCAATCTTCTTCTTTTTTTAATAATGACAACATTTGTATAATCTAATCTAAAGAAACGGGCAGCAGGCGAAATTTTTGTGTCGAAGAAAATCATAATTAAGTGACGAGGTGGAAGGCAAGAATTGAACTCGTAACCTTCTACCCTGCCAAAACAACAATAGTCCAAGAGGCTGTTGGCAAATAGAGAGAAAGACATAAATTATGCAT